ACCACAAAAAAACCTACATAAAAAAAGCGGTAAGTTAAATTCAAAATTAATGCTTTTATGTTTTCCTTTGTAACAAGATTAGAAATCGATATATTTTATAGGTCATAGGGTTAAATTCTTTGTGGTTTAGTCAATACTAAATAGAAGAAAAATGTATCGTTTCAGATAAATTGCGAAACTGATAAAAAGGCAGATAAATGCGAATAGGTATCTTTGCGACTTCAGCAAGTAATGGAGCGGGTTGTAAGTTGTTTAAATTTGTTTATTTATTCTTTTTTTCTAGTTTAGATAACCCGCAGGCTTTTATTTTAGCATGACAAAGGAAAAACTTCAGTACCTTTTTAAAACTGTTCCAGCTTGATATCCTTTCTATTGTTTTATAACTTACGCCAATTAAAAATTAAAAATTCAAACTCACTCTTTAGTTAAACGCATATTACATGCTGCATCTCTTGCCATGTTTAAAAATTCATTTTGAGGGATCTAGAATATCAACTATCCTTTCGAGAAAGAGAGAAAAGCTTCACTTGAATAATTTGCAAGATCAAAGGTATAAATTAAGGGTGGAAATATCGCACATATTTTAAAAATCGTTTCCTAACACTGAAAACAAACTTGTCCAGGTTATTCTCTAAGGCACACGTCAAAGAAAAGCCGGGACACTTTACAATGAAAAAAACAGGATATAGATAAACAATGGTCTAATTTCCGCCCACTGGAGTAATTCTCCCAGATGGAATCGACGTATTCAGTGGAGAACACTAGAAAAGACAACCACGGAAATTTGCATCACTCAGAAAGTTAGAGAAGGCGCCGAGCAACACAGATTACCAATGAATCAATCGACGGTTCTAGTTGGCCTGCTTGTGCTATTTGCCGCGATTTGTGGATCAAAAGCTTTTACGGCAGGCATCGGAAATATGGGAATGAAAGGAAAGCGAGATCTTGCTGTGAAGGTAAACTAACTTGTCACAGAAAATCGTTTGTCGTTCTACTTCACATCGTGGCAGAGGAAATGTTAAGGAAATAATTTCCAATGAATGACAGCAGTTATTTGTTTAACCAATTTTGCTTTCAACACTTTTGGGCGACAACTGAAACAACTCTAAAATTGCAAATCATTAGAATAAACATGAAATGCCACTGGTTAAGGCACTTGTACACGGAAATGAGAAGGTGTTGTTGGGAAGACTTATTTCTATGTTTCTGCCATCAAAGTTCTTTCTTTTAAAAGTAGAGAAAAAGAAAACATTTAAACTTACGAATGCGCGAGGAAGTTTTCTCTTTCGTCCAGATAGAAAAGAAAGCTTTTGATGTCTTTACTATTTTCATACGCAGTGGAGCCGAATAAAAAAGGATCTCGAGTTTATTAGAGAAAAATTTGGACTAGCATAACTCTGTGTACATAGTAACAGGAAAACTGATCATAAATGCTTTCAAAGGTGAGCAGCGAAAAAAAGGGTCGAGTACATGCCGAAAAAAATATGATCGTCGTTAAAATAAGCATAAAAATTGTATAATTGAATTATTGTTTTTTTGGTTAAAAGAAACAAAATGCGCCACGTGTCTGTTAATTAACTTTCCCTGTTAACCTTCAAAAAGTAGAGATTACTTTTGAATGCAATGTAAATTACGTTACTTGTTTGAAGGCAAACATCTCAATAGGGAAAATCTATATAAAAAAGATTCCACGCCACAGTAGCCACAGAAACAATTATGTCTTAGAGAGTGTGAAATAGGATAGCTGTTTATACCAAAAAACAGACTACGTTGTTGAAGCGGATATTCACAAAGTTTAATTTTACCGGCGGGCAAATGAAAGAAACAGTTCTCTTCAATGGCGTCCGTGTGACGTTGCCGCCGGCTTTGTGTCCTAGCTCTAAATTTGGTTTTCATGTTTTCTGAGTTACAACACCTGTGTACCTGTAATTGTTTTGTGTGATTGAGCTCCAAGCTTTAAATGCAATCACTTAACTTCAACTCCCTGTTTCAATCTCGTAATGTCAATTCATCTTCAGTAGCTCTATATTTCATTTAAATGTTAGTTCGGCGGGAAAATTTGTTGTACATGGAGATTTTGATCCATGGTTAATTGATGGTTTCTATATTCTTTGCGTTTGTTTCGTTGAGATAGATACATCGTACTATGAGGAGAAATTACACTACGCTCAATCCATGAAAGTACAGGATTGAAACTCAAAGGAAAATGATTAAAATCGACCATGTGATAGAACCTGGCGAAAATCAAAACAAATTCTCTCGCAATTTCTCTGAGCAATTTCGACAGCTTTCATTGAGAACCTTGAAAATCACAATACCTGCTGAGGATTCGCGTTCTCATAAAATCTGATGTGGTTGACAAAAATGTAAATGTTGTTGCTAAGAAGTAGGGGTATATCACATGACCTTCCGGAATCCTTTCACTTGCTCTAACCGCTGAGACACAAGAGACACAAGGCGATTCGTCATTACTAGGTTAAAGGAGCCGCGTCACGGTTTGTGTATCTTAAAAAGTTTTACCTAAATTTTTCAAGTTCGTTGTTTGCAATCCGTGTTATTCTTCTCCCTCCTTAACCATCCTTGTTCCTTTATGGTTTATCATTAAATTGTCTGTTTGGTGTTTTTATAGCTTAGTAAATAGAAAGATAGTACATTTCAACGCTGCCGTATGATATGAGAAAATGAAAATTCTGATCTGTTGTGACGAGCGTGGGAAAAATAGAAGAAAAATCTGAGTCCTCGACAGATTTCAACCCAATCCATGACCTTTTACTTTGTACCCTTGTTGAACGAATGTAATTTATCATTTTTCATTTCACGTTCTCAGTTTAACATTTACCATATATAACATTTCTAAAATAGCTTATTTGTAATGTTTTCCGTACAGACTCGAAGAGAACTTCAACTGTTGTGCCATTACGTACGAGGTACTTTGACTTCTAAAAGGTCTGGAGAGAGAACACATCAGACGCCATTTTACGTGCGGGAGATTTGTGGGCTATGACGTGAAAAGCAATTGTTACGGCAGTGGGAGACCGGACAATTTGGGCCAATATGAATCGAAATGTTTTGTCAGCTACCTTGTGTAAAATAATTACAATAAAAATCCGCTAACTTATGACATTTTCTCCTCTGATTCCCGTTTCACCCTATTTTCACCAATTTTTGCGCTCTATTTTGTTTTAGCGAGGATTTTGCCATGACATGTCGATAAAAGGAAAGCATTAATTTCTGTAAATAGTTGCAAGATTTTTAGACTTGAAAAGAGTTTCAAGTTGGCCCTTTTCAAGTGGGAACAAGATGGCGTGGCAGATCTTGCTTTGACTCCAGATCGAGCGGTCCGAGTCCGAGCCCTGCTCGGGCCAGTCATCGAGTTGGATATGTTCTTGGGCGCAAGACACTTTACTCTCACAGTGCCTCTTTTCACCCAGGTGTCCAAATGGGTACCAGAGAGCTAAATGCTGGGGTTAACTCTGTAATGGAATAGCACCCCATCTATAAAGTCCGGCTGTATGGGATTCCAGGCCCAGTGCGGTTGTTATATCTTGCCTTGTTCTGGGCCACGCCCCATTGTGAAGCTGAGGCTTTTCGGACTATAAGAGCTAGTATATGTCCAGCGCTTCCAGTACTTTTGATTATCATCAAAATTGTTGATCAGCCTGGCCCAAAATGTCGGAGAATGAAACGATATCGTCTCACGCAGAATCACTTTCCAGGTCAACAGTGCTAGGTGCTTGTACGAGATAAGAAAACCTTGAGATGAAAATGAATGAATCGAAGCGTAAGCATAAGGAAGAAAAACGAACGAAAAATTTGGTATTTTAGTCTGAAAATAACGTAAGTCGATTGAAAATTCAAAATCAAAATGAAAAGTGACAATGCGCTTATTTTGCAATTATTGTATTTAAAACTGGAACAAACGAAGAAGTTTTCGAAAGACAAAATTTGACTAGACTTGCATATCAAATAAATGCGGTTGCTATGGCAACAGCTGACACATCAAATTTTCTGCGAGAGATGATGAACAGCTACTGAAAACCCCCTCTCTTCTCCCTCGCCTCAATCCAGTTGTACGTCTGCGGGTAATTAAAGTTTCAAATTAAATTTTTCGTTTTCATTATCCTAAACATTTTCAAACAACTTTAAAAACGGATTTGGCTAGAAAAGCACTAACCAATTTAAATCCTTAGATCTTTAAATATAATATTTAAATCGTTTTTACCTTGATTTCTTGAAAATATAATTACAGCAAAACGGCTTTGTATTCTTTTTAAAACAATGTTTTTGGGTAGTCACTGAATTCACTTTATGCGTCATGGCCTGAGTGACGTTTTAATTTTTAGAACTTTAGTAGTTTATAACTAGGTTATGGACTTTTGAATTGAACATCTTAAACGACACAGGCTTTGACCATCGACGGAAGAAAAGAACAAGAAGACAAGAAATAATTATGTTGAGGTTTTGACCACTTTCATTTTAAACCAGTGCATTTTCCCTCATTTGGGTTCACACAGGCAAAACAGGCAAGCAATTACTACGCTCCAAATGTGTTGGCATTGGATTAACTTATAAAACGATTCACTTACAAATCTGAAATTTTCATTTCACATGGAACCGCAAAAAATGTTCACGAAGCCTCTAAAACATTGTTTTACATTATATTAAGGTACGATAATTGCAAATTACGCTATGTTCTGGGCAGCAGCTGCAAGATTCGGAAGAAATAGAATGTTTGTCAAAGGTGCCAGAGATGAATACAACATATAAAAAGTGGGTTTAATGGATTACTAGGCCGTTAACATTGCCTGAAAATTTATGTCGGTTCAAAACTGATTTTGTAAATGCAATTTTCTTCCATGAAGGAATGAATAACTGCAAACAGTAACATTAATAGTGCAAAAACATACACTGAGGAGAAATTTTCCGCAAGAGTTGATTATGATAACGATAAATCTCTTTATTATTATATTATTTTATTTGAACTCTATTTCTGCGGCAAATGTTGGATATACAATAATTATTCCATATTTGAAGCCGTATTTCCCTACCTTTTTAAAACTACACAAGTAAAACCAATTGTGTGATTTAAATGATAAACCAACCTAAAATCTATCAGCAGAAGAGTTTAAAATGACAATTGAAAAGTAAGCCTTTTGCGGAGGTAAAGTTTTTGTGATAATAATGTGACCACGTTATTATCTCCGCGAGATAGTTCGGATCGAATAAATTAGAGTTTCCCAAAGAGCTAAACAAAGAGTGACCAGCAGTCAGGCGATTTTCAGATGATAAAACTAATATAAAGTTTATTACACCAAGTGAGATATCTTGTCAATTAAACAAATATATATTTTGATTTTGAAAATGAGTTTATTTTCAATCACAGATGATAAACAAGCGCAACAGTAACAATAATAATATTAAGAAACACGGTTTTCGGCTAGTAGTGCTTTGTTC